CGCCTGTAGTCCCAGCTACTTGGGAGGCTGAGGCAGGAGACTCACTTGAACCCAGGAGTTGGAGGTTGCTGTGAGCTATGCCACGGCACTCTACCCAGGGGAACAACTTGAGGCTCTGTCTCAAAAAGAAAAGAAAGAAAGAAAGAAAAGAAAACTATCATTTTTACCTCATAGGCCTTACAAAAACAGGCATCTTGGCCCGTGGGCCATGGTTTGCCAATCTCCAGGATAGGAGCCAGCTCAGTGACTCTGGCAGTCTTCTCTTAACTGTCATATATCACCACATGTGTGCCTGGCCCTTCAATATTGTTCTAAATTATAGTTTGGGTTAATGTTTTAATTATTTGGTTTCAATAACTTTTTGTTGTTGTGTGTAAAAGTTCCTCTCAGATCTATTTTTCACTCTTCCTGTGTCATCTTTTTGGTTTTTTGGGTTTGCTTTGATTTTTGTTTTATTTTAACTTGTTTTTGCTGTTAATGCTTTTGTTTTTATCTTGTAAGGGAAAATTCATTGGTTCAATTATTTTAGCTAAATGATGGGAATCTAACTTTTGGAAATTTCCCTTTGGAAGCAATTGTAGTCTACTATGAATGAATAAATATAGAGGTCTTCTTTTAATCTTTTGAACTCTTTGCTACTCTGTGCAGATTTTTCTTTTAAGAGGTTGATGTTTGGAAATATTTGTTGTGATAACTAGAATTTTGAGAAGATTCTATCAACCCAAATAAATGACTTGAGACAAAAATGTCAATCAATAGAGGTTTATTAAGCCAAGATTTTGAGGACACGCCCAGGAAAAACATGAACCGCAGACAGACAAGCTATGGCTATTTTTGAAGGGGAGGCTGGAACCTTCAGCATTTTAAGAAATCATCTCATTTCAGAGAAGGAAAAAAGGTGGGGATCGGGGGCTAATGAGTTAATGGTTACATTTTGTGAGGCCCAAGAAATCTACATTTTTATATAAAATAGGCAGTGAAGGAAGCATCAGGGTGTCCCAGGGAAGGTGGAAGAATGTCTGATTCCTTCTTGTTTCCAGTTCTGTTACCTGTAAGAAAAACTTGTGATTCATTATTAGTATGGAGTTGAACAGACTTTAGGTGCTAAACTTGGGTGTAATTTGCATGTCCTTGATTATGGGAGGTTAGCAAAAAACTTTCTTTTTTTTTTTGAGACAGAGTCTCAGAAGTGTCTCACTGTGTCACCCTCAGTAGAGTGCCTTGGCGTCCCAGCTCACACCTCAAACTCTTGGGCTTAAGAGATTCTCTTGCCTCAGCCTCCCAAGTAGCTGGGACTATAGGCGCCCTCCACAGCGCCCAGCTATTTTTTTGTTGTTGCTGTTTGGCTGGGACCAGGTTCAAACCTGCCACCCTTGGTATATGGGGCTGGTGGCCTACTCACTGACCCACAGGTACCACCCATCTAGCTGTGTTTTGATATCAGCC